GGGAGGGGAGGGGCGGTTGGAAACCCGACAGAGACGATTCGTGGAAGGCAAGTGTGGAGAGCGGTTCCAGACAGAAAAAGGAGATTTCTGAATCACTGCAAAAAAAGTAAAAACAAACAAACGAAAATAAAAAACTTCCTAACTTCCCCAGCTGGCCAAAAGACGGCATAAGGTTGGGTCAGCCGTGATTCGGGTACGGGGGGAAGCTTCCCCACAAGAGAAGTGTTCAAGCAGAGCTCAGAAGGCCGGCCTTGCACAGTTAAGTCTGAACAGGACAAACAACGAGCGCTCCCGCAAGCTCACCCCGAGGCCCAGGGCCCGCTCTCCCGGCCCCGCCAGCACCCCGGCCCAGGCCCGTCCGCCGCTCACAGAGATTGCGGATAGAGGCGCACTGGTCTGGCCGCTCCGTCTTCACTTTGAGTTCCCGCCCACACTGGTGCACATCCCGCTCGGCGGCACTCTAGTGTACCTCGACTCTCTCGCTTCCCTCCTTCCCCCACCACCCAATCCCTCCCTCGAGGGGTTCCTCACCTGTCCCCAATCCCCGGAGGCCCTGGGCGCTGGCTCCCGGCTTTGCGCAGCTTCCCCAACACCACCCCGGCTCCCCGCTTCCAGGGACGCCGGGGTGTTGCCCTGCAGCGAACAACAACCACTTCCGGAAAGGGTATCAATCTAGCAACTGAGAGTCCCGCCTCTACTCGGAGTCAATAGGTCGCCGAATGAGAGCTCTTGCATCGGATTGGTTAAAGGTCCCGTCGGATCGCTGCACATTTCGCGTTGCACGATGGGAGATGTAGTCCGAGATAGTTGATGCGGCTCTGCCAGGGATTAAAAGAGAGTTGTGAATTTAGATATGAGGGAAATTTCTTCCCGGGAAGGAAAGGATCATTCACAGTATTGACAGTAACGTGAATTAACTAAGGCAATTTATTGGCCATAATTTTTAATAGTGTGATTCTTATCAGATGAATGATAACACTGATCATCAATAATCAACGCACTCAGGCTTTAATAAACAAAAAAATGTGAATGTCAGGTAATAGAGACACCGCCCCCCTACCCCCCGCCAACATACATACACACACACACACACACACACACACACACACACACATTACTCCGCTGTGCTGTGACTAAACCAGTGCGCACCTGCCCAGGAGTTGAGACCATAGTCCATCTTTTTACCAGAGCACAGAACTCAGTTTGTGTGGCTGCTAGAAGGGGATAATATCTATCATAACTATGACAAAGAGTCTGTTTACGAAGAAAAAAAAGTAGAAAGAGAAAGACAAATATCATATGACAGCATAATCTAAAAAAATAATACAATTGAACTTACTTACAAAACAGAAATAGATTTATAGACAGAGAAAACAAACTCATGGTTACCAAAGGGGAAGAAGGGGAGGGGATAAATTAGGAGTTTGGGATTAGCAGATACATTCTACTATATACAAAATAAATAAAAATGTCCTGCTGTATATAGCACAAGGAACTACATTCAATATCTTGTAATAACCTATAATGAAAAAGAATACATATATATTTATAACTGAATCACCGTGCTGTACACCAGAAACTAATACAACACTGTAAATCAACTATACTTCAATAAAAAAAGAAAGAAAACAAGTGACATAGTGTGTAGCCCCTCCACATACCCTGTCAGAAGGGTTGCTACTAATAATTTCAAAGGTTTAGTTTTGTTTGCACAAATCTTCCTTTCTCTCACATGTCCTCAACCTTCTGGAGAAGTTAAGAGGGGCGAAGACAGCTCTGGCCATTACATCAGCGAGAAAGCTGGAGAGCGGAAAAGTGAAGCTACTCGCTTGGAGAGGAGCACCTGGAGCAGCCCTTGACAGTCTCCATTGTGGAGAGGCATCCATCTCCGGCTAACTCCTGAAACTGGTCCCAGCACCACTCAGATCCTGATCCCAGACCCAAAGCAGATATTCAGAATGTATTCCTCATGTTTCACTTCAAATCTTTTCTGTGGTACTTCTGCCTATACTTCCTTTTTTCTGCCTGCAGATGACAAATCATTGCTCCCCCTTCCTCTCCACCCTCCTTAAAAAGTCTCACAGAGGGGCCAAGGGACCAGACTGGGAAGAGACTCTGAGAGCTCTCCAGTTCATCCACCACAGATCTTGCACAAAATAGGGATTCAAAAAATCACTTGCAGATTTGGTCCGTCTGTTCAAGAATTTGTAATCAATCTGGTTGACATTTATTGCCACCATAATTCTTAACTTTTGTTCCTTATCTTGGGTCCTTGCTCTCTCACGGGAGGAAGTTGATAAAACAACGGTTACTATGGGGTTAATGGGATTGCCCCACATGGATAAGCAATTTGCATTTTATCAGGTTTCCCTATAGGTTTGTACTCAGAAATGCAAGCTCATTTTTAAATGCCCTTAGGCAAACATAATTAAGAAAGCAAGTCTCTGGGGGGAAATAACAAAAATGACACACCAATTGATATGCCAGAAATATGCCCAATGAGTGAGGAAGAGAAACTGAGAGTTTCACACATTGTAGATTATCTTCTGCAGTCAGGAATAAACACTTAGAAGTGATTTTGCAAAGATGGGGAGAAAAAAAAATCAGTCCCAAATTTTATGCTCTACCCTCAGGTCAGAAATTCCATTGTGAGAACTTTTTCTTCTCTTTTCATATGGTTTACTTGTAATATACAAAAAAAAACTGCCCACATAATAAGAAAAAGGCTCAGTCCTACTATTTTTCCAAGAAGTATAAAAAGATGTGAAATGTTCCCTTTATTCTTTCAAGCCACCTTATTTAAAATTGCAAACTGCCCTTCCATCTTCCTTCTTCCCCCATAGCACGTATCACCATCTGAAATACTATGTATTGTACTTCTTTATTGTCTGTCTCCCTGCATTAGAATGTAAGCTACATGAGAAGGGGGACTCTCTCCATTTTATTTCCTGTTGCATCCGCAGTGCCAGCACGTAGTAGACATTAAACACATTTCCTGAATGAGTGAATGAATGAGCAAAAGAAGGAAGGAAGGAAGGAATCCCACACTTCAAAGGAAAGCACTGTTGACATTTGGGTTCCCACCTTCGCTGAAGACTTTTTAATGCTTATGCAGATGTAAGTTTATATGCATACATGTATATGCACATATGCCTACTTTTTAATCTTTACAGAAATGAGATCATAATGTACACACTGTTCTATGATGTGCTTTTTTCATTTAACAAGTCATAAACATCTTCCAAGGTGAGTTCATAAGAAATTACTCTGCTCTTTATAATGATTACATAAGATTCCATTGGTTAAATGTCTCATTTCCTTACTGATACTAATTTATTCTGCTTCCAAAGTTTTGATGTTGTCCACAAGGCTGAAAATACTCTTGGATTTTTGTTGGATAGGATCCTAGAAGTGGTATTGCTCAGAGCTTAATTTTTCACATTTTGATAGACATTGCCAAATTTCTCTCTAAAAATGGAATAATTTACAGTCCAACCAACAACTTCACCAAAACCAAATATTATCAATGTGAGAGGCAAAGAAAATGGTGATGAGGGTGTCTAAATATTGTTTTAATTCACTGTTAATGAAGTTAAACTTTTTTTTCATTTATTTATTGGCCATTTGAAGTTCTATCAATTACAGCCTGGGGTCTACCAGTTACTAAGTGGCAGAACCAGAATTGAAATACTGGAAGTCTAACTCTACAGAAGTTTTAAAAATTTAAGTAGTCAAGCTTGTCCTTTTTTTAAAAAAAAATCTTCTGAGTTTTGTTAGAGAAAACTTCTTCAATATAAGATTATTAAAATATACTTCTATTTTTCCCTGTAGTTTTCTTTTTAATTTATTTTTTATTTTTTATTTTTGTTTTATTTTTAATGTTAAGCTCTATGACTTATCTGGAGTTTATTTTTAAATGAGATAGGAATTTAGTTTTCTTTTCTCCAAAAGAATAGCCAGTTTTCCCAACAAGAGTTACTGACTAATGTATCTATTTCCCTCTAATATGAATGCCAGCTTTATCATATACAAAATTCCCACACATACATTGATCTATTGATTTTTATTGTTTAACCAGTATCCAGCCACCTTATTGGTTAGGATTTTTCTATCCATATTATATAGCCTGCACATAATTTGCTAATATTTGCTCCGTTTTCTCATCTCATTGAGTTAGCTAAACTGATCTACACTGTGTGGGATGAGTAGTGATAATGACCTTCTCTTTCCAAAGCCTGACTTTCATGGAAATAACTTTAGCCAATTACTATTGTTTTCTATGATTTTCTGTTATCTTGTTTAAGAAGTTTCCTCGTGGTTTTTATCAGAAGGACTACTGAATTTTAACAACAGCTTTCCACATATGATAAATAATAGTACGTTGATATAATCATACGGCTTTTCTCCTTTAAGCTATTTTAGCTCTAAACCTTTCATTTTAAGGCTCTTACCAATTAACATACAAGATACTTCTCAGAGTAATAACCTTTTAAAGCTGACAACAGTGATTTACCCTTAGTTCACCGACAGCACAGAAATCATGACGATCCTGAGGATTCACAGCATCTGGGGTGGAGGTGAGGGCAGGTAAAGCACCAAAGGCAAAAAAGATTCAGCTGAGAGAAGCCCCGACTGTATCTCACCTGCCTGCAGTCTGCAGGCTCCAGAGAAGGCAGGTTGCCCCTGCACCTTCCTCCTTTGGCCCTTGCTTATTCCGCTGGCTACCTAGAATCCCCTCCTACCCCCCTGACTCTTGCTTCCCAAATCTCTGCTTTTGAAAAATCCACCCATTCTTTAAGGTTCAAATTAAATACCACCTCCTCCCTTTGAGTCTTCCCAGTTCCCCCAACCGTCCCCCAAATCCCTTCTCCTTAATGCCCCGTCATTTTGTAGGTGCATGTGCATTTAATTTCTCTCTGTGGCCCCAGGAACTGGCAGAGTGCCTGGCATACGGTGGGTGCTCCAGAAATGCCGGATGAAGGGCTGACAGAACAAGAGAGGTCAGCCACCGCTCTCTCCCGATGGCCCTTCTCGCCCTGCCAGGGCCCAGGAAACCTTTCCCGCCAGGATCCTGCAGGGTGGACTCCGTCTCGGCAGAGGGCATCCCAGACCCCTCACCAACCCCGGAAGCCGGGCTGCCTGCCATGGGAAGACTACACTTCCCAGCGATCCCAGGGAAAAGCGAAAACCCTTTGGCTTTGACAGCCGCCGCCACAAGTCTTTCCGCCTCCCCAGCCTGCCTGGGAGCTGGGAGCGGGATTATGGTGGCCTGACCAGCAAACGCAGCCGCAGGAGCCCGGAACCCCTGCCCCTTCCCCTGCTGCCCGCTGCCGGGAGGACCAGGAAAGCAGCCTCCGACCTGCCATGCCTGCCCCTCCCAGCCCCCCAGGGGGCCCAAGTCGTCCTCTCCCGGACCTCTGCTGAGGCTGGACCACTGGCCAGATGTAGCCGGGCTCCGGATCCGTCTCCTCCCCTTCTCTCTCTCTGCGGATCTCTCCTGCCCGCTACCCACAGCCTGGACCGGGGGCTGGTGGAGGGGCCTGCAGGCTCTGGAGCCCCGATGCATCAAAGCTCACTCTCCTGAGAACCACCTCCAGCACCCGGAGTTGGGGGCAGGCCACAGGGACGGACGTGGGCCGGAGTGAGCCCAGGGCACCCCAAGGCCAGGGCCCACCATGGCCCAAGCGCTCCCCTGGCTCCTGCTGTGGATGGGCTCCGGAGTGCTGCCTGCCCACGGTTCCCAGCCCGGCATCCGGCTGCCCCTGCGAAGCGGGCTTGGGGGGGCCCCCCTGGGGCTGCGGCTGCCCCGGGAGACCGACGAGGAGCCAGAGGAGCCCGGCCGGAGGGGCAGCTTTGTAGAGATGGTGGACAACCTGAGGGGCAAGTCCGGTCAAGGCTACTACGTGGAGATGACCGTGGGCAGCCCCCCACAGACGGTAAGGTCGCCGGGCCAGCTTCCCCCTCCCTCCTGCATGAGGAGACAGGCTGGGGATGCAGCATGCTGGCTCCTGCTAAAAGGGGCTGCATGGTGCGGGCTGGGGGGACCCACCCCCAAATCTGATCTCTGGGATCATATTGGCAGCAGCTGGCCCGAAAGCTCCCCTTTCCCACTTCCTTTCCCCACAGAGGCTTCCCAGCCTGGCTGGTCCGACTGCCCTCCCCTCACTCCCCTCACTCCCAGTCTTACACACAGCCCCCTCAGTAAGGATCTGGGGCAAGAGAAACACATCAGTGGGGGGAGCCTGACCTGGGGAAGAGTCCAAACCCTAGAGACACTGTGAACAGGTGTCAGCCCAAACCAAGCCTGCGTCTCCCAACCCCACTGCTCTGGACCTCAGTCACCCAGTCGCTGGCATCTGAGGTTCTGCCCATGGTTCCCAGCACCTAGAGGAGCAGGGACTCCTGGTACAAGTTGGCTCAGCCCTTTTCTCCCATCTGCTCTGCCACGAGACAGCGAAGTGAGGTTTCCGAGTTCCTTGTGACTGCCACTGTAGCCCAGAAGCTCTGACAAACTCTTGCCCTCCCCAGCCCCCGCCCCTAGCTCCCCCTCCCACCTTTGCATTTGGCACTCCAGCCCCTCCCCCACATGATGCCTGCCCAGGCATTGGCCAGAGGGGACTGAACAGAGCCTTGGGAAAGGACATATCATAGATGGCACAGAGCAAAGGAGTCAGAGCCCCCTTCTATGCATGAGATTCCTTCCATGAGCTGCTAGGTGCTGGGGTGGGGGATGGTAGTGGAGAAGTCCCTGCTGCCCGCTTTTCCTATCCCTTCTGATAATTCTCCAAGGTACCTCCAAGGTGGCTGGTGGAGGTCACACCCTCTGCGCATCTGGCCAGGTAGGATTGTGGCCCTGAGCAGCCCTCCGCGCAGTGCTGTCTGTGGCTGACCTCTGTGAGCATATGCCTCCTCTGTGGGTGAGCCTGGGCACCAGTGGCAGGATGGCTCTGGGTGTGCTGGTGTCACCTTGAATCTGGGCCTGCACATCTAAGCCACCCCCTCCCCCAGATCTGCATCTGGGAGGCTTGTCCTTGGGAGGGTCTGTGAAGGTGGGAGGGTGTTTCCGTGTAGGGGGAACCACCACACTTCCCTGGAATGCTCAGGCAGCTCTTACATGGGATCTAACACTAACCTCCACTTCCCAACTGCCTGACAGAAGCAAGACTTCCTAGGTCCAGGCCGCTGAGGTCTACCTCCCACCTCCCAACTGATCCAAGATTCTGGTCTCCCCAGTTTATCTCTCCTCTTGCCTATGCCTGTAACTTCCCCAGAAATAGTCCTGAATCAGTGTGAGGACAGAGCCTGAATCCAGGCCTCTAGCAGCCTGAGCCAACAGGAGCCAGGTGCTGTCAGGGAGCAGGAGAATATAGGAACCTGGGACCTGCTCTCTTTTCTGCTACTGATGTGCTGTGTGAATTGTGCATGACCCTGGGACATGGACACAGGATGGGGCAGTGGGACCAACAAGGGCTCTGGGGTCAGATTGACCTGGAATTCCGGATCCACATCCCACAGCTTTTCCTCTTCCCAGCTGTGTGGCCTTGGGGAAATTATATAACCTCTCTGAGGCTATTGCTATGTCTTTAAAATGGGTGAAGTGAGATCTCCTTTGCCAGGTTATGGTGAGGATTAACAGAGGCTATGTAGGCAAAAGCACCTAGAACAATGCACCTGGACAGAGACTTGACCTCCAGTAAATATGAAGTCACTTTCTCCTAACTTCTCCGGCCACTTCGCTCTCTTCTGCGCTCTGCAAGGAAGCAAAAACACTTGGGTGTTCTGAGCCCCCATGTTTTATGCATAAAACATGTAAAAGCCAGGGACCCACTACTCTACTTCCCTGGACCCCTGAAATAACATGGACACCCCCCAGCCCAGAAATTGGCAGAGAGCAATTGCCCCCAGAATGTCAGTTTCTTCTTGGGAGAAGGGGAAAGTGGGCTTAAAGTTCCGCACTAGCCCAAGGAGCCAGTGTCAGGGAGACCACGGTTAGAGCAGCTCTGTGGATTGGCTTATGGCCCCAAACCCAAGCCAACACCAGCCAGTCTGCGCTCTTTGGTGACTTTGATTCTCCTCGCAGCAGTCTATAAGAAGGATGTACACAGTACCCTGAACAAGTAACAGTGAAAGTTGTGGAGCACTTGCGATGTACCAGGCAACTGGGCTGGGAGACTGATCCACAAAGAGACAGAAAATACATTTTCTGCTCCAAAGAGCTTAGCATGGAAGTGAAATTCCAAGTACTTGGTCATCTGTAGCAGTGGTACTCAAAGTGAGGGCCCCAGACCCTTGTCATCAGAGCCACTTAGAAATGTAAATATTTGGCCCCACCCCAGAGCAGAATTAGAATCTCAGGAGCTGAACGGTGAGGTAGAGTGGTAGAGTGAGTGCTTCACATGCACAAGGTTCTGGGTGCAATCCCCAGTACCTCCACTAACAAAAAGAAAAGAGAAAAAAGAATCTCAGGGCAGTGTCTCAAGTTTGAGAAGCACTGATCTATAGCAGTAGAGTGGTACAGAGAGTGAGTGCCACAGGTGTTCTGGAGGAAGTAAAATAGGGGAGGCCTCACGGAGATGTGCTGTGAGTGTGGTCTTAAAGGATGGAGAGGAGGGGCGAGGCCATTCCCAGTGGAGAAAGGGTCCCCTGAACTGTGGTTGCACTTTACTTATATGTCCACCCCTTCCTGCCCTGTCCCCTAAGACCAAGCAAGGACACCATGAATGAGAGGATGAGTTATGTGTGTTTGGGCTTATGCATGTTTGTTCAGGAGTCAGTGAGAAACCCAGTCCAGTTAATGTTACAGGTTTGGGTAAATAAGATAGAGCCAAATGGCCAAAGCCTTAAATGTCAAGCTATAAGGTTTAGACTTTAGTCTGCAGAAATAAGGAGAAAATTGAATTTATGTGTACAGGGGAATGACACCAAGAAAGCCATCTTTTAGGAAGATATGTCTGAATTTTAGAAAGAATGGTACTGAGAAATGCAGTCAGAAGGAGGCTCTGTCAAAAAGGTCTATGCGTGAAGCTGTGACAAGGATGGCGTGAGGCCGTGATAAAATGGAAAAGGGGGGGTGGGGACAGAATGCAAGGAAGGGTACAAAGCAGATGGACCGATCATGCTGACATTGATGTGAAGGGTGAGGAGGAAGACGTCAAGGATAATTTCAGGATTCTGATCTGGGATGAATTAGGATGGCAAGACCACTTGTTAGTTGGCAGGAGGGGATGGTTCAGGAGTACAGGTATACAGATATATACTTGTATGTATGGTTACAGTTTATACAAGTTTTAAAATATATTCTCCAGAGATTATTTTGTTCTTTACAGTAATTCCTGCAGTGTATAAAGCGGTCTTATTCATAGCTTCTAGCAGAAGAAATGGGGTCTGAAAGGTGAAATAATTGGCCAGTTGGCCAGGTGGCAGGTCAGTGGGCTGAGACCCTGTCTCACCCTTGACCTTCCTCCTCTGTCGTATCACCTATTGTGTGTCTTGGGGGAGAAGAAGAGTGTTTCAGAGATCCTGCTTCCATTCTCCTGACATCTACTCATGTCTCCCTTACTACACTTATCAGAACATGTCACTGTTTTTTGTGTTTGTTTCCCTCATAAAACATCAAGCTCTTGAGGACAGTGCCTTTTTTAATTAACTAATTTTTGCAGGGTCTTATCTCTCTTTATCTCATATCTATGACAGTGCCAGGCTCAGAACACGCACCTAAAAAGTGTTGAGTGAGTGAATCAATAAAGTGTAAGACATCTAAATAGAACTGTTGGGGGAGGGTAAGCTCAGGGGTAGAGTGCGTGCTTAGCACGCACGATGTCCTGGGTTCGGTCCGCAGTGTCTCCATTAAAAATAAATTTTTTTAAAAAATAAATAGAACTGTTGATGGGCTATTGTAATTGCAGAGCTGGAGCTCCTGGAGAAAGCATTTGCACTCTCTTCACTTAAACGAAAAGATGTCATCTCATTATAACCGTATGAGCAGCACCACTCAAACACAGGACAATCATCTAATTGCTAGGATTGAAATCTGGTGATGGTCAATTTTCAGTTTAACAAATATTTCTTGACCACCTGCTGTGTGCCGAACAGAAGACTATGTCATGGTCTTAGCTCTTGGAGCACTCACGATTTGGTGTGAGACACAGACACGTGAACGCCCAAATATCACACAGGACCAAGTGCATTTGGTACACATAGAAGAGTGAGTCTCGGCAGTCTAAAGAAAGAAGCAGCTGCTTCGGACAGAGTGTTAGAAAAGGCTTGCTGGAAAAGGGTGGCATTTGAATATGGCCTAGAAAGATAAGAAAGCTTTGCTATTTGGGGAGAAAACTTCAGAAGGAGGCATTAGCTATGCTAAGGAGCTAGAAGTTGTGGTGGGGCTGCCGTGAGTGGAAGTTGGGTTTCATTCTGAAGGCTGCATGGAAATGGTTTAGTGTAATTGTGGCTCTAGGAAAACAGCTCCAGGGTGGAGGATAATTTGGATGGTCTACAGTCTGAGCCAAGAATCTCAATTAGGACAAGGGCCTGAAAGAAGGTACAAAGGAGAGGTCCTCAGAGAGCCAGTATTCACCTGTCAGCTCAACTGGATGTCCTCTGCCCCTGGTGGCGGAGAGGGAAGAGAAGAGGGCCCTCATCTTTTAAGCTCTCTGACTCTGTTTGTATCAGGGTACACAGCAGAAGCAGCAAGGTTTTAAAGCTCAGTAGAGTTGACCAAAATTCCATGTTTATTTTTCTGCTTTAATCATAAGGACAAGGTATTTGCATGTCCATTTTGGGGAGGAGGAAACTGAGTCTCAGAGAGATTAAGTGGTTTGCCCAAATTTACTCAGCTAGGAGAGAACAGAGCTGGGGTTCAAAGCCAGGTCTTTGGATTCCAAGTCCAAATACTTGGTTCTTTCCAACGATCTATAGCCTGGGATATGTTGGTTGACTT